TTTAATGAAAAAGGAAAAAGCTTTAATCTGATGGTGTTCATGTTACAATTTAAATTATTATATGTGTTGCAAACCTCCTCAAATTCTCTTAAATGCAAGTATGGATTTTCCAATTCTAAGCCATGAAAAGAAGGTAAAAGTTGAATAATGCCTGACTTAAAATTAAAATGAGATACATCGGGAGGAAAAACTATGCATGATGGTGCACTTGTTCTTGTGGGATTCATGTGGTCTCTAAGTGTTCTAGCACAATTATTCTCATTATTCTCATTATGAAGCGATTGATTATCTTCTTCGGCCATATTTTCTAAAAATGATGAGGATACCCTACAAAGTCTACCACTTGATGTACGTGACCACACTCTCATGCACATGTAGGAATAAAATAAAAGGAAGAAGAAGAAAGAAGAAAAAAACAAGAGAAAAGAAACAAAGTTATATACAAGGAAAGTGAAAAGAGAAAATAAATTAAATACTACAATTTATACAAAACTTACCTCCCCGGCAACAGCACCAAAAACTTGACACGACTAAAAGATTGATGTCTTCTCCCAAGTGCAAGAGTGTCGAACTAATAAATAACCCAGCAAGACCGGAGTCGAACCACAAGGAGGTTAATTGTACAAATTATAAACAATAATTATAAACAACAACAATAGTAACAATAACAACAATAATAATAATAGTAGCAATAATAATACTAATAATACTAGTAGTAATAGTAGTAGTAGTAGTAGTAGTAATAATAATAATAATAATAATAATAATAATAATAATAAAGAAGAAGAAGAAAGAATGATGAGAACTTTGAGATGGAAAATTAACGTAAGGATTAAATAATGATAATAAACAATGTCAAGGTTAGAAGATCCACTAATGGTATGTCAAACAAGTATAGTATAAACTCTTATTATTCAATTGGAAACCACACACAAAAGAGGTTCCAATCAGATTATATAATTATCGATACCAATTTCACTAATATCATCATCACCCCATAGGCATCGATGCATAATAATCCCCTTATCCAAGACCCTAATATATACTAAATGTATGCTAGGTGATGTATAGTGAGCCCTTTATCCAGGATCCTAACATGCATTAAATATATGTTAGCCGATGAATGGTGATCCCCTTAACTCGAATCCTAACATACACTAAATGTATGTTAGTCCATGCCTTAATGGCATCGATGCATTATAATCCTTTTACCCGGGATCCTAACACATGCTAAATATATGTTAGTCCATGTCTCATATCACACTTCTCGTATTTCACCCCTCCCATCACTTGGCAATTCACACAAAAAGAAACCATCCACATTGGACACATATACATTCGTGATGCCATCTGAAATAATAATATTTTTACACAAACTTTCATTCTTCATAATATATATATATATATATATATATATATATATATATATATTCGCTAATTCATATTTCACCTCAATAACATAATAATTCATGAAACTTAACTAAGAAGCATAGGTGCATATCACATGCTTATAGTAGAAGCTCTACTTATGCTCCCCTGTTGCTATTGCACCACATTTGTGATCCCTCTTGTAATCTGATTAGTACTTAAAAGTGCATTTTTATCATGGTTTTATATCATCATTTTGCACTTGAAGTATCAATAACTCCTTAA